TCTCTAGCAGCTCCTGCCTGCCCCTGCAGGGCTCCTTAATCTTCCTGCTTCTCTGAGTTCCTCTCCTGTAAGCTCGCTCCTCCATTCCTTGTGCCTCCTGCAATAATAATGTCTGCATTTACTACATGTATTGAGCACCTACTGCATGCACTCTATCTATCTATCTATCTATCTATCTATCTATCTATCTATCTATCTATCTATCTTTGAGCTAGCTCTCAGTATGTGGCCCTGGTTAATCTTTGAGCTAGCTCTCAGTATGTGGCCCGGGCTGGTCTTGAACTTGAGACCCAGAGAGCCTAGCTACATAGTAGGATCTATCTTGTTCAAGCTGCACAACTCTCCAGGATTGTGATGTGTTGCTATCTCCATCTTACAGATAAGGAACTCAAGCACCAGAAATGCTCAAGGGGTTACCCAACTTTACCCAACTAGCAGATAACAGCTTTGTGATTCAAACCCATTCGGTCTGATCCTCCAGCACAGCACTGCTTACTGCATTACATCTAACTGCTTGAGTTTTCTGCCTCTGCCCATGCTAAGGTCCGTAGCTGGAGTCTCCACTGTCCACCTGCCGCAAGCCTTGCTTGTCATGGAAGGTCTTGCTCAGCAGTCACTCCTGTTTCAAAGTCCTTTCCGGACTCCCCCCAAAGAGAGGACTTATCACCCTTAGATTTTATAATTGAGAAAACTCTGCCAGCCATTTTCCATTATCGTCGTCATCATCATCATCATCCATGACAGCTCCATAGCCCAGGGTGACTTCAAATTCACGATTCTCTTACACCAATCTCTCAAATGCTGAAGTTACCATCTCGTACCACCGCACTCAGCTTGTGTTGAGACCTCCTTCCAGACTACTTGTCCCACCCCACCCACCCAAACCCACCCATACCCAGGAGCTGCATTGGCAGGAAACATGCTCTGTCTCCCTCTAGTGTCTAGCACAAAACTGGGCACAGACACGGGTGTTCTCTAAATGCTTGAGGATTAAATGGCAGGGACCTCAGCCCTCATCCCTGTCACAAAGTTGGAAATTTCCAGAAGACGAGTCTCCACCTGGAAAGAAGCAGGGGAGGAGGAGGACACTGGAGAGACCTGAGGTAGGAGAGATCTTTCTGCAGGGGATACTCTTTGAGATAGTTTTACTAATCTAACTATTTACCACTTGGATCAAAGTCCCCAGAGGAACCAGTTGGTGATGAAGTTCCACACTTGCATGATCCCCAGAGGTCTTTGGGAGCCAGCTGTTCTACCCTAGGGGATTTCCCCCTCTTTCGATGCCAGGAACTGAACCATGGTAGGAAGTGACCCTCCTGTGTGTCACAGGAGGAAGTGTGGCCAGGGTTCCTGGACTCTTTGCTTAGGTTACCCCAGCCAGACCCTTAGGACCTCTGACAGCAGTGGTCACACGACTTCAGTAATATGATAGTTCCGGGGCAAGCATGAACTTCCCTGCCTGTGAGGGAAATTGCCCCATCCTCAGGGATATGGGGTAAGAACCATTCTAATGCCTCTCACAGTGTTGCCATGGTATCCTGGCTAGGACTATGGGCAAAATCTGAGTTCTTAAAAGCCCAAGACCTTCAAGAGAGGCTGCCTCCCTCAGTAATTCCCGAAGACTCCTGGGGCCTCAGTTCCCAGTGTGACCTAGCATTGCCGCCTTCTTTAGGGTAGGAGGCAAAGCAGGGGGGATGCTGAAAAGATTAACTCTGTTGTTAAGTTCATAGTGTAGTTCACTGTGCAGCATGGCTTCTTGACGTCTCTTCCTTGATCTCCAGGCTACTCACTCACAGGCTAAGGAGAGACACCTGGCAACATCAGAATGAAAGAGCACGTTCAATAGAACACATTTGTTCAACAGCAGGCCCCGTGGACTAGCTGCTCTCCACATGAGTTTGGATCACTAGCATCACTAGAGTTCATGTTGGCAGTGTAAACTTCCAGTCTCACCTCTATCCTACTGAGTCAAGAACTCTGGGTATGTGGCTCAACAGTCTGTTCTAGCAAGCCTCCCTGGAGGCTCCAGGGTGCGCTGAAGTTAGTCAATCAATGCAATGGAGAAACTTAACAGATGGGCAACATATTGGGAGAAGATATGTGGAACACCAACACCCCACACGGGAGTGATATCTAAAATTTCAATGCTATTCTTGCAAATGAATGTAAAAAACATGGGAAACCCAATGGAAGTGAGCAAACAGTAAAGGAGCAGTTCATAGTGGGGAAAGCCCAGTGTCCAAATGTACAGAAGGAATCTCCAAATCTCAGAATGAGGCTAGGGATAGAGCTTAGTTGGGTGAGTGCTCACCTGGCATTCTTGATGGTCACCATTCTCCGAGCCAGGCATGCAGCAGTGTACATCTTTAATCCTAGAATTTAGGAGGGTCAGAAGTTTTGAAGACAGCCTGGGTTACATGAGGTCCTATCCCCAACACCACCACAGATCTCAGGGTTAGCACAGAAATGCAAGAATGCATGCTATATGTATATTTGTCTGGTGTGTGTGTGTGTGTGTTACTGGGAATTGAACTTAGAGCCACATACATACTAGGCAAACATTCTGCTATTGAGCTACATCCCAGTATTCCTTAGGCTTTTTTATTTTGAGGCTGAGTCCTGCTTAGTTGCTACATCCAAACTGACAGACAATTATAGTCAAGCATTATAGAAAAAAGGATGAATGAGCAAGGCAACAGCCTTGTTTGAAAGCTGTGGATAGGCCATCCTGGAAGGGTTTTGTGAAATTTAAACATGTATGCCTTGGATCTACTAATTCCACTCCTGGAAGAGCTCAACAGAATCTTCACATGGGTCCACAAGGACCAACTACAAAGATGTTCACCACAGCAGTCTTTGTGGTATGAGAGAGTTGAAAGCAAACTGGGTGCCCATCATCAGGGGAAAGGAGAAACAGAGGGAATGCTTGCTTAACTTGGAATATCTGGCAGCTATTGAATGCAATAAGTATATTTTCCCACAATAATATGTTTGTATCTTAAAATCATTACAGAGTGTGCTAGGCCTGGTACCACACACCTGTTATCCAAACACTCAAGTGGCTGAGGTAAGAAGATCTTGAGTTGGGTGAAGCCTTGGCTACACAACAAGCTCCCATCAAAAAACAAGAACAGAGCTGGAGAGATGGTTCAGAGGTCAAGAGCACTGGCTGCTCTTCCAGAGGTCCCAAGTTCAACTCCCAGAAACCACATGGTGACTCACAACCATCTGTAATGAGATCTGGTGCCCTCTTCTGGAGTGCAGGATTACATGCAGGCAGAACACTGTATACATAATAAATAAATAAATCTTTAAAAAAAAAAAAAAAAACACCACTGACCATCCAACCCAAATGGCAAAACAACAAACTTTATGAAAGGAAGCCAAAGAATTAGAACTCATCCCAATGTCATTTATGCTGTGTTCATGTGCACATGTGTGTGAGTGTACATGTCTGGGTTTGCATGCATGTGTCAGAGGTCAGTGCTGAGTGTATTCTTCAGTCTCCACCTTACCTTAAGAAAGGGCCTCTCTTTTTTAATCAAAAGTTATTATTGTTAGTGTCTGTGCAAGTGTATGTGCAGGGTAATGGTGATGATGCCAACGTGTTCATGTAAACACCACAGTACGCACGAGTGGAGGTCAGAAGAGAACTTTGCGCAGCCGGTTTCCTCCTTCCACCTTTATATAGGTTTGGGGTCTTGAATTCAGGTGGCCAGGCTTCTGCAATAAGTACTTTACAAGCCGAGGGTCCTCACCCGGACTTACTGATTAGCTGGCCACTCTGTATTCCTGACCCCAGCTAGGGTTAAAGGCATGTGGCCACACTGGCTTTTTACATGGGTGCTAGGGATCTGAACTTGGGCCATCATACTTTCTCGGTAGGAACTTTACTCACAGCGTGATCTTCCCAGGTCAGCCAGCATTGTGTGTCTTATGGACAGGGATGAGTTTTGACATGTGGGGCTGGGGCTTGTGGTATGGAAAAGACTGCAGACAGGGGAGGAATGAAGGACAGCAGGAGAGCCTTATGAACCAGTGATGAGGAGACAGTCCTCTGTGACAAACCACATGGAAATCTAGAACACTAAGTCCCAGTGATCGTATGATTTGAATTTGGCCATAGAAGGCATAGGAAGGTTCTGCAGACGAATTTTTATCTCTTCTAGAAGTATCTGGCCTCCGCTCAAGGCTCACCATCCTCACTCAGACTGTACCAAGGGCTGGCCTTGACTTCACCTCCATAGCTCATAGCAGAACTTGCTTGCACAGTTCTTTGACTTCCTAGATCCAGAGCAAATGTCTGCAAAGGCCTGAGTGTGTGTTTGGGGCTTGGGCACAGGGCCAGGACATGAGACCCCTGTGAAGGCCAGTCCTGTTTCTTCTTCTCAAGCTGTAAACTCCTTCAGTCTTCGTGGCATCTCATTCCATCCACTGATCCCAGGAATAATAGGTAAACTGAGTCAGAAAGCATCCCAAGTGGAAGGAAACAGCGTTTATTGAGCATCTACAGCATGCTAGGCTAAGGTCTTGCCCTCCATTGATCCCCATGACCTGTGAGAAGCGTGGAGCTGAAATTATTGTACAGATGTGGACATGGGTAGCGATATCCCTCATATCCATTCCTTAAAACAGCGACAACTACAATAACACCCTCTCAGTTTCTCGGACTATAAAATTGAAGAGAGGTCTCTGGGTTCTGGAAATGGTTTGGGTGTGAGGTTGGGCGGATCGAGCAGAAAGCTGGGGCTTGAACTGGAAATCTTTTCTGTAGGCCAGTAGATGGCGCGATACTTCTTCCGGCAGAGAACGCTAGGGTCTGGCTCTCCCTAGAGTAAAGCCATCTGCAGGACTTTCTCGGTATTGCAGGAAGTGAAGCCCTGGAAACCCATCTGCAGGAACAGAAGCCCAGAAGGCACAGATGGAAATCTAGGATGTCTAGGCACCAGGCGGATGGTGTCCCACGAGCAAGTATACAAGACCCAAGGTGGGCAGCGGGGCTACAGGTAGTTGTCTTCACCCTGGTCGCCGCCGCTTGGGGAGACATCCTCATAGACGTCATCGTCGGGGGCCAGAGCCTCGATGTCGTGTGTAATGTCGTCTAGCAACTGGTGGAAGGTCTGGGCCTCCGGCCGCTGGGCCGCCCCGTCGTAGCTGCGCACGGCAGAGGCAGATGTGGAGCTCATGCTGCGCTTGATGCGGCCGAAGCTGTCGGTGAGGATGCCACCCTCGCGGATGCCCACACTCTCCAGGAAGCTCTCGAAGTAGCCAATGTCCTGGTCCGGAATAAAGGGCCGCATCCCTACAGGACACGGGACAAGGTGATTCCCTCATTCTGCCAGCATGCGTAGGAGTGCGCCTCTCTGGAAGTCTGAGTTCAAATCCTGTCTCTGCCAGTGTGGCTTAGCCAAGATTTTTTTTTTTTTAAACGTCACTAAACAGCAGATGACACAAGGCTTCCCATGTGTTTGTTAGGTTAGTATATTCTTAAGATTATATCCCACTTGTTAGCTACACAACCTCTATTAAATAACCACTCAAACCTCAATTTCCTCATCTGTAAAAACAAATATTTTTACCTGTTTTGGTGCAAAGGTAATAACAGTTACTTCCCACACTGAGCCCATAAACAGTAGTTTTGCTCCAGTCCCTCTCTAGCTCTTTGACTTATTTTCTGTACTTTTCTACTCCGAGTCTCAGTTTCTTCCCATGCAAATGGACACAATATAACTGTATTTACTTCCCAGAAGTGGGGACACTCTATGAGATCATGCTTGGCTGTTATAAATGCCAAAGATGTGCGTGTACTGCCAGTACTATTCGTATGGTGCTTATTGACCCTCTTCACTAGCTGTGTGACTCTAGACAAGTTCCTTTGTCTCTCTAGGCTGAACCCACACAGTCTATGTGTGTGAGGAGAGTCACAATTTGACCCAGCTTTGCTACCCTAGGGCTTTGTTCATCTCAGGTGTTTCCTGGCAATTCCTTTTCCATACTCTTGCTCTCCTTCTCTGTTCCAGGGTCTCAAGGTCTTGGCCTTGGGGGCTGGAAGTACAAAGCACTCCCAGGTGGTGCCCAACTAGGGGTGCCTGGAACCAACGGGAGCCGGAGCTTACCAATGAGAAGGAACTTCCGTCGGTCCCCGTAGAGTTTCTGCAGGCCTGCACAGTAGTCCTGGATAGGCAGCCCTAGGCGATAGTCTCGTAGCAGCATTGCAAACTGCTGGATCTCAGGGGGACCCAGCTTGCTTCGCAGCTGTGGAAGTAAGGGACATGTCGTGGAATAATCTTTTTGTACACTGTGAAGATGTGTCACTCTGATTGGTTTAATAGAAAGCTGAGTGGCCAATAGCTAGGCAGGATTTCTGGGCAGAAAGGATGCTGGGAAGAAGGTGGTGGAGACTCAAGGACAGACAGAGTAAGAAGGATGGGCAGTATGGAGATGCGGTAATAAAGCCACAAGGCATAAAGTAAATGAATAGAAATGGGCTAATTTAAGTTATAAGAGCTAGTTAGAAACAAGCCTAAGCTAGAGGCCAAGCTTTCATAATTAATAATAAGTCTCTGTGTCATATTTTGGGAACTGGCAGCCCAAAGAAAAATCCATCTACAGGGACACCCTTGGAGATCAGTCACAGAGTGTAACAAAAATCAGCTCCTACTAAAAATGCTTGGGTTCTCTCTGGCAGCCTGCCTGACCTAGTCTGCCTCCAAAACCATCCATTGCCCATTGGGGGAATATCTGGTCTTTTGCATCAAGGAGAGGGTGTTGGTCCAGCTTCCTGAGCACCAATCCTTTGTAGACCTCTGTGGTGTCAGGAGGTCACTACCTCTCTGACCCTTGCTTTCCTCCTCTGCACTTATGTTGCGGAGGGATCCCACACACACACTTGGGGTTGTTGAAAGACCAATACCTGAAAGGTGCTTGGGACATTCAGTGCTGGCTGATGCCAGTCAAGGCTTTTCTAAGCTGGCCTCTTCTAGTCGCATCTCCCTCCTCGGCCTCTGAGCTCTTATATACAATGAGTACTGCAATGCACCAGGCTTGTTGTGGAGCACTGCCACCCCAACTCACTGTGACCATGTAATCCTGTAGCTGCTCAAAGGCCCAGCTGCTGTGGTCGATACTGCTGCAGTGGGAGCCGTGGAAAGAAGGCGTGGATGCACCACTATAACATGCTTCAAATGTGTCCTGGGAACCATTGCTGTAGAGACAAGAGGAAAACCCTCACCAACCTCCATTCCTTTTTCCTAGGGCAGGCTAAAGTTGGTTGGGCCTATATATCAGTGCTCAAGGCCCCATCCTAGACCTCATCTTGCCCTCCAAGGCCCTTCATGAGGCCCAGCAATCTTTCAAGCCCTCTCCTGCTGGCAGAACTCTGGTCATACTGCCTTCCTTACCCCAACCCGGGCCTTTGATCATGCTGTCCCCTGTGCCTGGAATCCTCTCTCCTCCCCACTGTCTTTCACATCTGATATTACAGCCATAGGGCCCCTACCTGCTTGTTCTGAATCCTTGCTGTTCCTGCATAGCTGCCTTCATCCTCTGCATGGAATACCCTGTCCCTTTTATCCCCAGCTCAACCATTATCAGTCAGTTCTGGGAAGCCCTTTTGGTCCTAAATAAGGTGGAGTCCTCTTCTGACCCTCCCATAGCCCAGGAAGCTTCTCTTTAGTGTGTGGTATCATCGATGCTGGCTGCCTCCTCTGCTAAATTGTGTAGCCCTTTCTGTCTCCTTCTCGAGTCCTTTCTGTAAACCAGGCTGCCTGGCTCATCGTGGAGGGTTCTGTTTTGGTTTTGACAGGGTCTCACCTATCCGAGATTGGCTCCAAACTTTCCATGTAGCTGAGATTAGCCTTGAACTTTTGATCCTCCTGCTTCCACCTACCAAGTCCCAAGATTACAGGTATGAACCACCAAGCCAGGTTCATGCATGACGAGGCTTGGAACCAGGGCTTCTGATGGGCTAGACAAACACTCTGTCAACTCAGGTGCACTTCTAGCCCATGTAGGAAGCTATCGTTAGTAACTGCTTTTAAAATAAGATGTTTACCCTGGGCTTCAGCCTCACTTGCTTTGTTTTTTTTTGTTGTTATTGTTTTGTTTTGTTTTTTAACTTGTTTCAGAATCACTTTCTATTATTATCTCCAGGGCAGCATAGCTACCTGGCCAAGAGCGTGTACTTTTTTTGCTTGTTTCTTGAGTCATGGTCTCATGTTGCTCGGGCTAGTCTTAAAATCAACCATGTAGCTGAAGCGGGCTTTGAACTTATGATCTTCTGGCTTCCAATTCCTAAATGCAGGGACCAGAGACCTGGCAAGGGTGTAGACTCCTGAGTTCACATCTCAGCTTACTTATGCTCATAGCCCAGGTTTATGCAGTTTGCTGTCTGTTTGACCCTTGCAATGCTAAACTTTGTTTCCTTAGGCCTCAGCTTCTCCATCTGTAAAAGGGGATGAGGAAGATTGGTGTCATTGTGAAAATGACAGAAGAAACTAATACTTGTAAAGCACTTCAGGTCATAGACCCTTTGTAATAGACAACTAGCCACATAGCTGCTCACAAAAGCCAAAGACATGTTTTACAGCATACAGTAAGCCCACAAACGTGTCATTAGTGTGATTTGCTCTCAATTCAAGTTGGTTATGTACTAGCCTATGTGTACACAGGCTTAGGAAGGCAAATGTAGTGCCAATATTAACAACAGTGTGGAAATGGCATACTTCTTAGCCACAGGAGCTATCACTCACTATAGGTCTGCTCAGAACTTTATTGGATTTAAAATGAGAATCCCACATCTCAATCCTGAGAAAACCGGGATGGTCAATATTCTTAATATAATTCTTTAATTTTTTTTGTGGTAGTTTTCATGTATCACAGGTTGGCCTGAAACTCACTATGTAACCAAGGGTGACCTTGACTTCTGATTCTCTTGCTTCCTCCTTCCCAGTGCAGAGGTTACAGGTGTGCATCATTTTATATAGTGTTAGGGATCAAGCCAGGGCTATGTGTGTAGCTAGGGAAGTATTTCACCAGCTGAGCTACAACCCCAGCACCCAGAATGCTGTTTTACCCTACATTTCCCAGCCTTGCTTACAGCTAGTTCTGACTAGTAAAGTGCAAGCTGGATGGGACGTGTGTGTGTGTGTGTGTGTGTGTGTGTGTGTGTGTGTGTGTGTGTGTGTGTGTGTGTGTATCTGTGTGCGTGCGCACGCACACACGCACACGTGAGCACATGTGCATAGGCATGCATGGGTGCATGCATTGCTAAGGATGGAACCCAGGGTCTTTTGTATGCTAAGCGTGCATGGTGATGATGCTCAAGTTCTCCCTGGCCTCCATCCTCCCTTAGTGTGCCGTTGCATGGCTGCGGCTACAGCTTAAACCATGAGGTCACTCTGAAGATGGTGAAGAGGAAGCTGTGACCGGAAGAGAGGCTCAGAGCCTAGAGGACCAGGAATCCCCGAACTCTTGTTATATTATATGGAAAAAGGCAAGAAAACAAATGCTGTCTTTGCAAACCTACTCTCCTCAGGGTTTTCTATTATACAGAGTCAATACTAAAGTAAACCAGCATTGTTTCCCAGCATTAGCTATAACCCTGGACTCTGCAGACCACTAAACCTAGGAGACCTGAAGATCTCTGTGGACTCAGGTCTGAGTTTGGGCATCTCCAGGTTTCTCAGAGTCTGTACTGGAGCTCTGTTTACTTCCCACCCTCAACACAAACCAGGGTCAGGTCCCTTTCCCCCACACACTCTAGAGGAGTGGCCCTGTTTTGGTAGCGGGGGAGGAGGAAGGAGTGGCATTCTCGACAAACGTGATACCCACAAGGAGCTGCAGCAGCTCAAGTCGGCGTCGTAGGCAAATGTCCCATCTGTGCGGCAGCTCTCACCTGAGACCAGCATACAGAAGAACTGTCAGAAGTGACATGCAGGGACCACTATCTTAGGCTCCCTGAAGCCCCAACCTTAGTGGCACCATGGGATCCAGCTCCAGTCCAGCCCTGACACACAGCCAACCTTGGGCATCTAACCTCCCTGGTTCCTGCCTTCCTCAGTGGCCAGGCTCAAAGCATCTGCCTATTTGATGGGCTGTGGGGAATGGCAAATGAGAGCCAATGGGGGAGTGTTGATAAGTGTGTGTTTAGGTACGTCAGGAAGATTAGGAGGGTTGGAAGCGTGAAAGGAAAGCGGTGGTATTTGTGGAGAATGTGTCTCTTCCTCAGCCTGCTGTTCATCTGTCCAGGCATGACCTTCTCATCCCAGCTCACTCAGGGTCACTCGGTCACCCTGACTTCTCAGAGGCCAGTTCCTCATTGCAGGCTCTCACAACACTGTCTGTGGTCTGACATTTATCTGTGTGACTATCCATGCAAGTTGCAGGAAGGCAGGGCGGTGCCTCAGTTTGCCCACCATCAGTTTATCCTGCAGATTTCAACAGGGCCCGAGACAGTAAGAGCTCAGTAATTATCTGGTGAATGAATGAATGAATCTGGTGAATGAATGAAGCCACCAGATGAGTGTTCTCATTTCTTCACCCAGCATCCTGGTGGGACCTGATGAGACACCCCAGCTTCCCAGCAGGCACAGCTCCTGTGGGTAGAAGGGTCTTCAGAAAGCCAGTGCCCCAGTTTCTGGAGCTGTGCAAACAGAGACCGCCCTGGAGCAGGCTGTGGAGGAGTGAATTCACTCAGTGGCCTTGAGGGTAGCACACAGAGAGGCTGCTGCAGATAGAGGCTTTGGATCTAGACAGACTGGGTTTGGATTCTGACTCTGACTTAACAGCTGTGTGACCTGTGACAATTTATTGACTGCTCTGAGACTCAGTGGTTTTTATTGTAAAGCTGGATCCACAGGGCCTCAGAAAGGTTCCTTGACCTTTTTCTTTTCCTTTCGAGAAAGGGTCTCACTATGTAGTCCTACCTAGCCCGGAACTTGCTATGTAGATCAGGCTGGTCTTGAACACACAGAGATCTGCTTGCCTCTGCCTCCCAAGAGCTGAGACTAAAGATGTGTACCACCACCATGCCTAGACCTTTTTCTTTTTTAAGACAAGATTTCTTCATTGTAGCTCAGGTTGACCTCAAACTCTGATACTCCTGCCTCAGCTTCCCAAGGGCTGAGGACAATTGGCATATGCCATCATGTCTAGCTCTGAGAAGTTTTTAATTACACAAAATTACTTTTGTGTTGTACTTGAGTCTGCCTTTGCCATGGTGCCCACGTGGATGTCAGAGGACAACTTTTGGGACTCAGTTTCTCCTTCTACCCTGTGGGTCCTGAGGATTGAACTCAGGTTGTCAAGTTTGGCAGCAGGCATCTTTCCTCACTGAGCCATCTCACCAGCCCAGGCTCTGAGCATATTTCCTTTTATCTGAAGACTACCTGTCTATCATCTGTGGTGTGCCCAGTCCTGTGCTATGTGAACGAGATAAGTAAGTTGCTATGAAGATTCAAGAAGGCTTGGCACCTTGATATTGTGCTTGGTGCATATTTGGCGCCCAATAAATGCTAGTCTCATTTTAATTCCAGCCCTTGATTGCATACGTGGACTAATCCAGAAATGTCAGCTTAGGAGCCTCATGGGGTGAGATGGCTCAGTTAGCTGACAATATAGGAGCTCAACTTTCTGCAAAGCAGGGACACTCAAAACAAGAAAGAAGTTTCAAGTGCCCAAGTTCAAACTCATCCCAAACTTGACAACTTAATCATCTCTTAAGAGGTCATCAGGTAGATTGACATTCATTCTATTAAGTGGACCCCTGGAACTGAAGTACAGCTCAGAACCCTCAAAGGCCTTTATCAGCCCTGACTCTAGGACATCAGCCTTTCCTGGTGCTTCATAGGAGTCTGGTACTCACTGCAGCTGGAGAGCCACGGCCTCTTTGGTGTGGGTCTGTAGTGGTAGCCGGCCCGGTCTACACACTCAATGCTCTGATCCCCGTAGATGATCTGGAAGACTTGACAGATGAGTGCACAGGACTCCTCAGCAGCATCCTGGTCCAGAGGTAGGAAAGAGAGCTCAGCTCTTACCCACTATCAGGATACCCCTGCTTCCCCAGAAGCAATATAAGCCAGTGCTGAGACACACACCTGCAGACCCCCTTAAGCCGATTTCAAAGATATTTTCTCTGAAAATCATAAGGCTCCTCTCTTGTTCTTATGACCTTTCTTATAGAATCCAGAGTTGACTCTGGCTCCTCTGCCATGAAGGTACATTCCAGTTTTGCAGGGGATTCATGGCCTATCATGAAATTTATCTAACACAAGGGCTCATCTAACTTATTGTACAGAGCTGAAGCCCAGGGTGGAGATGGAACACTTCAAATAATCAAAATCTTAGGCTCAGTGCTGTTACTATTACTGGACACAATATACAGGTATAGGTTGCATGATACCCAATGTAATAGTGGAAGCAATACAATGATAGTAGTCTCTGGTAGAAGGAAAAGGGGGCTTGGACAAAGCTTTAAAGATTGTACATTTGAGGAGGAATTTGCTTCTTCAAGCAAGAGACACAGAATAATTGCCAATTATTCTGCAATAACTGATTGAAAAAGTCATGCATATGAATATACTGCCTCTAAATAAACCTAGGTAAAACTTAAAATGTAATTCAGAATGGGTATGGGTGGTCATAGAAGGTACTGATATTTACACCAGGGCTTACCATTACCCTAGAGTAGACAAGTCAGAGAAGACCCCTATTCTATAGTTAATGCTGGCACCAGGAGTTTTAGCTATGACTGCTGTGCTTGGGACCACTGTGCATCAGACAGGAGTCCAGAGCTCAGACCCCTAAAAAGCAACTCATTTAATTATTCATTCCACCACCAAACCAGGATAGGTAAAGCACATCGTTGTCTCTGTCTGGGATGCAATTTGCAGGCCCTTGGTTCTACAGACTTTTTCTTGCTTCATTTTAAATAATACAAACTAAGTTTTCCTGTTGAAACAGGGTCTCTTCCTCCATTGCCAATCATATGGGCCATTCACTTCCTATCAGAGCCAGAACGACTCATCTAATCCTAGTTTTTCTATATATGTGCCTGTCATTATTCATTTCCTCATCACCCTATCACGTTTCCAGGATGAAGCTGTGTTGGATGAGGCAGTAGAATACAGAACGTAAGAAGGGGCTGAGCCAATAGGGTGGAGCCTGACAACCTTCTCCCAGCTAGAGAAGATGGAGCTGGGTATGGACAGTGCAGGACATAGGGCTTGCATATATTTAAAAATAAGGCCAGTGGGATTTGTGAACATAGTAGTGTGTGTAAGACTGAGATAGAGGCAGAGGCAGGGACACAGAGAGACAGACAGACCAAGGACCATGGCAAAGTTTCAGCCGGAGCCACCAAGGATGAAGCTGCCATTCAGTGAAACATGGAGATGAAGGTGCTTTCAGGGTTGGGAGGGGACTGGAAGCTCATGGGACAAATCCATGCTGCAATGACAAGCAGACCCTGGAAAAGACAGGCTGAGTGGAGATTTGGATAGAGATGAAATTCAGTGTGTTATCCAGGGCTTAGAAGACAGCAGAGTCAAAATCACCTAGAAACAAGTATGGATAAAGGACAGGAGATTGAGGACAATGTCTGGACAACCCCTGCTTAAGGGGCCGGAGAGAAAAGGAGGTACCAGCTTTCCAAGAAGGAGGATGGGGTGGGGAGAACCAAAGAAGAGAGCTAGACACCAAGTGAGAAAGTAGCTCAGGGTGGGGGCCTGAGCCACAGTGCTGTGTTTCTAGGGATTGGCCACCTCTCCCTGCAGACTCACTGTTCACAGAGAGAGCCCAGGGCCCTGGGGAGGAGGAAATGTTTGGAAGACTTAGGCCTTAAAAGTGCCTGCTAGACTGGGTACCTCTTAAGGGGACACCAATTGGCTTTCTCACCTCCATACACACAACACCTAGCCCAATGTGGAGCACACAGCTGGCACTTAACAAATTAACAAATATCATCTAGCCAGCAGGGAGGTAGAGGCAGGTGGATCTCTGTGAGTTTGAGGCCAGCCTGGTCTACAGAGCAAATTCCTGGACAGCCAGGGCTACACAGAAAAACCCTGTCTTAAAACACACAAAAAAAACATACATACATAACACACACACACACACACACACACACACACACACACACACACACACACAGAGCCAGGGCTACACAGAGAAACCCTGTCTTAAAAAAACAAAACAAACATACATATATACCACACACACACACACACACACACACACACACACACACTTTATGTTCAGTGAGAGCAAGGGTGAATGGAGACAGATGTGGCAGGCAGGACAGGCAAGAATGATGGCAAGGCTTCTTTCTGCCTTAGGTGGCTGGCTACCTTAGTTACCAAGAGTAAGGCTCTGAACTTCCTTCCCAGGCTTCGAATCTTAAAGCCACCTGCTTTCCACAGGACCTAAACTTTGAGCCTGTGTCCTTCCCTAAGGAGTGGGAATGAACATGTGTCATATTTGCCCTAGGGGCTGCTGTGGAGATTGTGTTAATGCTGTTCTGTGTCTGTCTTGGGTGGGTGCTTCACTTGTGGTATTACTAGTGTGACTGTCACCGTCAGGGTGGTGGTGCCAACACTTCCTCACGCTCACCCTGTTGGCCACAGCTAGGATGACCAGGTTGCAGTAGGCATCGGGGCTGGGGTTCTGGGGATCCAGGGGGTTGGGGCC